GTCCTTTTCTGAAGTTATTAGTGGTAAAGCGCTTCCCGGATGTTACTTGGTGGTTACGGCGAGAAATGAGGCTGGGATACCTGTGAGAAAAGATTGCGACACGCTGTTAGAGGTTGAAGGATTCAGCCCAGAGGATGCCAAAGAGTTTATCTTAAAATACTTTGAAGGCAAGGGAGACATGGCTCACGATCTCCTCGCAAATATGTCGATCGACAGCAGACTAGAAAAGTTGACAGCGAATCCTTTAAGCACTGCACTGCTTTGCCTTCTTTTTGAAGATTTTCAGGGTGAATTACCTCGAAGCGGAACTCAGTTGTATTGGGAAATAGTACAATGTGTTCTTAAGAGATACAGGAAAAAGAAAGGCCTACCAGTAGACAATAAGGATTTGATTGAACTCTACAAGGGTCAATTAGAAAACCTTGGCTTGATAGCGTTAAACGGTCTTCGTGAAGGCATCTCCCATTTTGAGGATGAACAGTTAGGAAACAAACATAGCGACTTAACTGAATTCGGATTCCTTTCCGTTCAACCTGGAAGATGCATACGAAGACCCTGTTTACGTTTTGGCTTTACACATAAAAGTTTTCAAGAGTTTTTTGCTGGATATTATCTTTGTTGCCAACTTGTTACGGACGAAATCAGTCCTGAAGTGTTAGTAACTGACAAACGATATTTTCGAGAGTTGATACAGGTATTACAATTTACCTGTGGCCTGGTGCGATATGAAGAACGTCTACTGCCCGTGATCGAAAGCATAGCGGATGAGATCAACAAAGAAGATACTAATGAGTCTTTTCTTGTTGCTTTGCAAATCATTAAAGATCTTCCCTTAGAAGTGGCATTTACCTTTGGTTCATGTCTGACTGTTCAGGAGGTTGATCTCACTTATGACCAAATTGAAATAGATCTTGCTCTTGAGCTTTTGATCGTTCTTCAAACAAACATTGTCAAAACCCTGACACATTTGAATTTGACTCACAATGAGTTTCTCCCTTTTAAGTGTCTTGCTGCCGCTCTTGAAACAAACACAACTCTGACAGTTTTGAATTTGACTGACAATGACCTTGATAAAGCTGAATTTGAGTCTCTGGCTGCCGCGCTAGGAAAAAATGCAACTCTGACAAGTTTGGATTTGACTCACAATCAGCTTAGTGATGCTGATGTTAACTCACTTGCCACTGCACTTGACACAAACAGAAGCCTTAAACATTTGGATTTGTCTTTCAATTACCTTGGAAGAGGTAGCACTGAGTCACTTGCTTTGTTGCTTAACAAGAACACCGCTCTGAGAAAGTTGATTTTGACCTGCAATGCCCTTGGTTCTGCTACTGCTGAGTCCATTGGTGCCGCACTTGCAACAAACACAACTCTGACAAATTTGGATCTCGAGGGCAATAACATTGGTCCTGCTGGTGCTGAGTCACTAGCTACAGCGCTTAAAACAAACACAACTCTGACAAATTTGTATCTGCGGGAGAATAACCTCTGTTCCTCCGGTGCTGAGTCCCTTGCTGCTGCGCTTAAAACGAACACAACTGTGACAGAGTTGAACTTGTCCAAGAATAACCTTGGTCCTGGTGGTGCAGAGTACCTCGCTGACGCGCTTAAAATAAACACGGCTCTAACGAAGCTGGATTTGCATTTCAACGACCTTGGCCCTGCTAGCGCCGAGTCACTTGCCGCCGGGCTTAAAACAAACGCGTCCATGACGGAATTGAATTTGTCCCACAATGCTCTGACTGATGTTACGTCACTTGCTACAGCCCTTGTAACAAACAGAAGCCTGAAAGATTTGAATTTGTCTTGGAATAACCTCTGTCCTGCTAGCGCTGACTCGCTTGCTGCCTCACTAACAAGGAACACAACTCTAACAAAGTTGGATTTGTCTGGCAATAACCTTGGCCCTGCCGGTGCTGAGTCACTTGCCACAGCGCTTGAAACCAACACAACTCTGAAAAATTTGTTTTTGTTTAAAAATAACATTAGTGAAGCCGGTCGCAAAAAACTTAATGACGCACATGGTGACCGTGTCCTGTTCAAGTGTGTGGATCCTTACCATCTCCTTTCGATATCTTTCAGGGAAGCACGACAAAATATAGAGCTCAAAAAATTTGCTTTAAAAGGAATGTCTTAATTGAATTCCTAAAAGTCTCTAGCTCACTGGAAAACTGATGAATTTACATGCACATGTAAAATTCTATTCTAACATGTAAATATCACGTAAATCAACTACAGATTACTGTAAATGACATTTTACAGGGGAAATGCCCTTTTAGAGGAACTTAAAGTTACTGTAAAAAAGGTGTAAATATTAGGAGCAGAACATGTAAAAATGGAGACAATGCTGTAAAACGTAAGGGTTCTAAAGGCAAAATCATGCAAACACGCTGTAAATATTGAAAAATGTGAAGAACATGTAAATTAAACAGGATAGTTTACTACGACCTTGTAGATGGAGCGTATGACCTTGAAATGAAAACGCGCGAACAAAACAGAAACAACAAACGAACGGAAATAGAGCGACTTTATTGGTTTATCGAACGGATACAAATGCCTGTATACCGAATAACTTTCTGAAAATCAACCGATTCTTCGTTTTGACATCATACTGCAATACGATTGGCCAATCGAACAATTCCTTCTCCATATTAGGGTTCTCTTTGGCGGGAAAACGAAGAGGCATGGTTTTGATCTTTTCATCCATTGGCTAATAAACAAATAACGAACACTTACCGACACCATTTTTCAAGGTCATACGAAAATCGCTCTGTTATGTAAAATCCCTGTAAATCGAAAAGAGAAGGATCATTTCACACTCTAAAAACACTGAAAATCGAAGACGGAGACTGAATTCACCCTGTAAAGACCTTGTAAATCGAAAAAAAGAGACCGATTTGACCCTGTCAAAACCTTGTAAATTGAAAAAGAGCTACCTATTTGACCCTGTAATAACCAGGTCAGGACTGGGCATTTGTCGATCTGCAGCTATCAAGCTACTCGGTCGAATTTTTGTATGAATCAGCCAACCCCGATCGTGAAGCATGTGCAGCTTTCTGAAGAAATATTCAAGGGAGGGAGGTTGTAGTTTCCCCCTCTACGGTAAAAACAAGTGGCGCCGTCCGTGTTCAATAAAGAAATAGTTAGTTTCAAGCAGAAAAAGAGCAACGAAAATGATCAAATGATAACACGGAAGCGCGCTAAAAGGTACTTATCGGTTTCGTCGCTAGGCAACTGCGGACATCATCGGTTCCTGTCCGATATATAGAAATATCAGGGCCATTATGGGCTAATGGAAAATATATATGATGAAACTGAGATCATATCACAATAAGCGATCCATGAAGGAGCAAAGTGGCAATGAACCAGCCCTACTCATATAATGTCATGTAATCAGCCCTTAAAACAAAAAAACCTTTTCTTTTGGATGAACAATGAGCGTAGGGGAGGACAAGCCTACGAAATGGGTGTAGCGAGAAGGACAGATTAGGTTGTCTATAAAAAAAATTGGTTCATGCAAGAACCTCTGGCCGAAAAGACATTTACTTGGATTCGAAAAAATTTTCAACAACGTGAGTGTTCAAACGGTAAATTTCAGCGAAAAAGTTTTGTTTATCAATTTGCGCTGGCGTTTTTGCAAACGAAAGGAATGGGATTTTTCTCACAAGGGTTGGGGAGGGCGGGCGGCGGATACAAGGACACCCCTGGATCTCCTAGATACTCACTCCCCCATATTAGCGTGTTCCAGGCTTTCAGATCGTGAGGAAGGCGCAAAGAGATATGAGCAGAACAAAAAACTAGCGAGGCCTTTATTATTTCATTTATCGTTATTTTTTTCATTCTTTTGCTGTACGGTTGCGTGACAGCCCTTGTGTCAGCCCTTTGCGTTTTCGTTTCCTTTTCTTTTGTATCAGGTCTCCGGAAGCTTGGCAACTTTTAAGCTGGCAACCTCGTTCCCTGGGTTCTCTCCTACCATGGAAACGAGGTTGTTAAGCTGGTTGTCTCCCTAAGACCGGTCTGAAGATTTTCGGATCGGAAAAAAGATTCCCTTTATAAGTACCGTATTTATTCGATTAACCGCCCTGGGCGCTTATTAAATTTTTGGACTTTGAGAGTGGGCGCTTATTCGAGGTGGGCGCTTATATGAGGCTGGGCGCTTATTAAATTTTCACCATTTTCAGCACGTGAAGTATGTTTATTTTGCAACAAAACAATAAATGCTAATAACAAAACTCGAAGAAGAAACAAAGCAATGTTTCTGCAAAATACTCTGAAGAAATCTCCGTCCTCGGGGAAGTCTCTTATTAGAATTTATTCACTCAAGTGGGTGGGGTGGGGGTGAGCGCTTATTTGAGTTTGATTGGGAGGAGGAGGGGTGGGCGCTTATTAACTTTTTCTGCCTTTAAGATGGGCGCTTATTCGAGGTGGGCGCTAATTCGAGGTTGGGCGCTTATTCGAATAAATACGGTATGTGGTATGCATATAATAAAACCAGGCTAGTTTAATTCGTTACATTTCTTTCTTTTTGGCTACAAGCCAAAGCAACTTCCGCCAACCGCGAGCAGACTTTGGACCGATTCACAGGCCGAAAATAGCGTCTTTTGAAGATCGCGCTGCTTCAAAACGCATAGAGTCTGCTAAAAATATATAACACCGCAGTATTCAGGTACTATTCTGGCTACACAATTGCAGTAGAGAAGGTAATTTAGCCATGGTTCGGATGGGTTTTTTGCTTCCTTTTTTTTTCAGACCAGATCCCTAGCACCAAATTCTTCATAGGTAACATTTTAAGGTCTCGGTAAATGAAAATTTTAGTACATTGCTCGATTTTGTTTTGTTTTTTTTTTTGGATTTTTGGCATGAGTGGGTCCTAAATTTTATTTTGGCAGAAAAAGAAAATCAGAAAGTGCTTTTTAACCCTTCTAAAATGAGCCTTTTCTGAGCTAACCAGCCAAGCGTGGACCTCGCGCTAAATCTTTAGAGCTTATTTTCTCTCACTCTATTTTAGACGCAAAAATCAAAATTCTCCGACCTCCAGTCGGGACAGGTTTTAAGCTATCGCTTTGAAACTTTCAGATATGATGGATAATGACATAGACTCAAAAAGGGTGTGAGGAATTTTCCGATTTCCCTTTGTAACTCATTTTATGTCAGTTTCTTTGCGTAAATCGCGCTCGAGATTCGACTTTTTAGTTTGAAATGCAATAATTCCGCTAATACGAGACATATGCAAATTTCCTCACACCCTTTTTTAGGTCTTTTATCTGTCAATCAGATACAATAAAAAGGAAGTGAATATTTAACAACGCGAAAGGGCTGGAGCTTCAGCAGTAAACTCGATACCTCTGAGTTCGAGAGCAAAAAACTTAAGCGCCTTTTGAAATTCGATGAAATAAAATCTTTTATAAGGTAATTTAGTCTTTTAGCTTTAATTTGATATATAACTTGCCTTTGTAGCGAAAATATTCGCGCGACTAGAATTTTTTTCTGTGGGCACCTCGTTTTCCTTTACCGAGACCTTAAAATTCCCTTTTTTTTTATTTTTCTGTCAACGTTATTGCCATAGGCCATTTGCCTGATAACGTCATTTTAATACTATGCCCAGAATCTTTTTCTTCATTCCTGTTATGCATATTTACTTTTGGTATTTCCACTGAGATTTAAAGGTACGGTAAAACGGGTAAAGAAAAACCGTGCACCTCGTTTTGCAACATTGCTTCACGACGAGTTGAATAGCGACAAGGTTGCGCGTTATACCACCCACGAATTAAAGCCTTTCAACTTTATTTGTTGCATTGATTGGTAAAACGCACAGCATCGCTAGTCAACTCGTTTTGCAGAAATGTTGCAAAACAATTTGGGCGTTTTTTGTTACCCGTTTTACTAAACCTTAAATAACAATGAAGCACTAATTTGCACGAGAAAGCAAAAGCCTTAAGGATTCTGGTCGTAATAGTAAAATGACGTCATTGGTGCAAATGGCCTATAAGGACCCTGCGAGCAGAACCTCCTTTTGTCTTCTTCTCACCTGGAAGACAAACCGCCACCTGTTTTTAGAAAACATGTGATGTGAAAAATTGAGTAAAACGAAATCACTTCGAAGCTAAAATAAAAACAAGGGTCTGAGAGTAACCTGCGACCAGCCGTCCCCACCATCTGGTGTTCCTCTTCTTTTTCTTCCGGGAAAGCGAAAACGTCCTCGAATTTTTTCTTTTCCACTCGCCTTTTAAAGAACAAGGGAAGATTGATTGGCCTAAGCAAAAGGCCAGCTAAATTATAAGACTTACCAGTTTCTCGCAATTAACCGTGAGCAAAGAAAGGGATGGAAATGACATAGTCCCAGCTTTATGACATAATCAAATGTCTTTCAAGCATTATAACTAAACGTTACAAACAGAAACCCCAATCAGCTAATTGTCTATCTGCGCTAGCCTGAGTCTCATCAGACGTCTGAGGTCGATCGCTTCTCTTCCTCTCCCGTCTGATACACTCTGTGCGATGAGGTCTTTTTCGTGACGTCAGAGTACCGTCTTGTATATCAAGAACCAAGAAATAAAGAGTGGAAAAGGAAACCAGAACAATTTTACGCGGGTTTTTCCAAGATCAGATTTTGGAAAAGCGAATATTTCTTATCTATATGCTTATAACTTCTTCCCCAAAGATAGCCGTCCACTCTTACCCAAGACGAACTCGATTCTGTGCTTCATGATCTGCGCTGAATTTCTCGAAACAAGCGAAAGAATAGCGGTTTTCAAGCGCTCGCAGTAGGATTTGCGAGGAACTTTTTTAGGCGCTGAATTACAGTCATGGAACGAGAAATTGCAATATGTTTGCGAAAGAAAATAAGAGAAAAGGAGAGAAGCGAAGCGGCCGCGATCCGGACCTCGGACGCCACCTCTGAGAATCATGATACCGGTACCTACATCCGCACCGTCTTTTGTCTCGGTTTATCGGTATTCTTTGTTATTCTCAAGCTTCCTCACTGCTTATACCTATATTATTCAGTTTAATTGAATTGTTCTTGTGAAGTTATAATTTTTTAGGTGGGATATTTTATTTGTATGACGGTAAAATGGCTTCTTTGATGACAAGCTTGAACTCCAGATTAGAGAGACAGCAATGCATGATTTGTATTGGGGAGACATCGGCAATCCTTTACTTTGCTGAATGAAACAAACTAAAATTATGAAGATTAAGACAATTAAGAAACGGAAAACTACAAGACTGGGCGTAAAAATGAAAAAAAAAAAGTGGCTTCCCACTTTGCAGATTGGTCAATAACTGAACCCCACGTGACCCCCCATATATTCTTCTACGAACAGAATTAAATGTAATAAATGGACAACTAATAACAGGGAGGATTTATTTATTTATTTAATCGCTTTCACCATAATTACAAAACTAAAAAAGACTAGGGGGAAAAAAATACATTTGAACAAGACACAAAAACTACGGACGAAGGTGTGCCCTTACGGAAAATACACAAATACTAACTATGTAAACACTAAACATTAAACATGTCCTTTGGGACGCCAGTGTTTCTGCAATGTAGCGCCCATTGCACCCCAAAAAAATTCCATCAATTTTTAAAGTAATTTGTACAAGAAGTATCAAGTACTCCTTCTGAATCGAAAGCTAATACTTGAAAAGATGCCGAGACTATATCGTGTTCTGATCGTGTAAAATCCCATCCAGGGCAATATCCCGGGGGAATACCATGAAATTGAGACGAGGATGCTCGTTGGAAAATTAGAATAAAACCCAAAAGCAGGCTGGTAATCTGGGTGTGGCTCATGCTTAAACATCGTTTAACAGCCATTGTTTAGAAGTTATTTCTTTACGCACAGCCGTAGGCGATACCCTTATGGTTAAAAATGTTGAACACCCAAAACGTAGAATTTCGTCCCTTAGGAAAGCGACGGACATTCCTGTCACTTTCAAAGGGGATTCCCCCCCACCCCCATGTTCCCCAACCTCCGAGGGGCCAAGCCTTGCAGTAAGGTGGTGTCAAGGGCAGAGAGCTAGAATTAGAAATTTCCCTTTTAGCGGCTGCAAACTTTAAAAAGCTTTGAAAAATTACTATATGGGCAGAAGAGTTTTTTCACGGAGGTGTGGACCTGAATCCGTTGTCCACTGTCCGCAGTCCGCAGTCCGCAGTCCGCAGTCTTTATACTGTGGAGTTTGATGCTTCTTACATAACGGAGTTGGAGAACCGCTGACAGAATCGATCAAATTTCTTTCCGGCTTGTTTCGCGCCTTGTGATCGCAATGTTTTGAAAAGCAAAAATATCGTTTTCCCTCGTCAAAAACATAGTGTTTCCTCGTCTTCAAAATATGGTACTGGTATGGACTCAGAAATGATGCAAGATATTTTATTTGAAAATGAACAGAAATATTTCTCGAGGCTTAAGGTGGCTCGATACAGTTTTCCAGGGCCAATACCTACCAAGTTTGAGCATAAACTACATCGCCATAAACAAAGTTTTGGAAAAATTGTCACCACAGTTGTATTAGATAAAGATGAAAATTTGTTATGATCAGGGTTGCAATGACATCGGAGTTGTCATAGCAACGAAATGACGCTATTGCCTATTTTACTTACAGAAGTATTTCTCGGCACTGGGAACTGTTCTTCCAAAATCATTCACGGGAGCTTTTTCCTCCAATAGCCGCCTCGATGTTCGTGAAGTTTAAGCGAAATCTGTAAGAGCGTTATCGAGATATTTTGGGATAAAGATTTTGTGGTTAGAAATACGGTAAAAAATGGATAATCTTGATGTTCGGCTGTTATCTGTAGAAAATGAAGCGCTTTTGACATGCAATTTCACCTCAGAGTAGTTTCAATCTTTTTAAAAACGTGTGAAAGACGGTGAAGATAGCTCCAGCCGATTGCTAGAAAGAAGGATTTGATTAGTATGTATCGGGGCGCTTTTGTTAGCGGTTTTTGAACATTTTGGTCTACTTTAACAAATTAGCGAATAATTTTTAAACCGCTCGATAGATTTTTAAAAAAATTTAAGATTCTTGAGATTAACCTTCCCTTTATATGACCTTTTAGTTTCAACATAATTGATATATTGTAAGGCAGTAAAATAAGGGCTACAATTCGCCAATATTTTGGCAGAAATTTTGTGTTTACAAATGTGAGCCTCTCATTATTCAGGGTATTGTCTCCAAGTTTCATATTTTCGTGCAAAACAATAGCTAGCATTTTTGCATATGTCAAATGTATTGTTAGTTACTGTTGTTCACGTGAAAATGAAACTTGGAGACAATGCCTTGAATAATGAGAGGCTTTCACTTGTAATAACGAAACTTCCGATAAAAAAGTAACGAATTGTAGCCCTTATTTTACTGCCTTACAATGCATCAATAATCTTGAAACTAAAAGGTCATGTAAAAGAAAGGTTAATCTCAAGAATCTTAAATTTTAAAAAGAATCTATTAAGCGGTTGATAAACTATTCGCTAATTTGTTAAAGAAGACCAAAATGTTCACAAAACCGCTAACAAGAGCGCCTCGATACATGCTAATAAAACCCTTCTTTCTAGCAACACGTTTTTAAAAAGATTGAAACTACTATGAGGTGAAATTGCATGTAAAAAGCGCTTCATTTTCTACAGATAACGGCCAAACAACAATATTGTCCATTTTTACTGTCTTTCTAGCCACAAAAAATTCATCCCAAAATATCTCGATAACGCTCTCACAGATTTCGCTTAAACTTCACGAACATCGAGGCCGCTATTGGAGGAAAAAGCTCCCGTGAACGATTTTGGAAGAACAGTTCCCAGTGCCGAGATATACTGCTGCGAGTAAAATAGGTAATAGCGTCATTTCGTTGCTATGACAACTCCGATGCAAACCTGATCATAACAATTTTTCATCTTTATCTAATACAACTGTGGTGGCAATTTTTCCAAAACGTTGTTTATGGCGATGTAGTTTATGCTCAAACTTGGGAGGCATTGGCCCTGGAAAACTGTATCGAGCCACCTTAACATGCTGACACAGTTGCGCTCATACGAGCACCCAAAATGGGCTTCTTCACTGAAAGATATTCCACAGTTCTTTGTTCAAGTAAGTAGTTTTGATATAACTTGCTAAAGTTTTGCTTTGACTTCCGCTATTCTACCTTGTCCACCACTCGCAAAATAGAATTTAGATCTAACTTAGCCCTTATGATGTTTTGGTCAAAACGTCGTGTACTTGACACAGAAGACGTAAAAGAAAAGACCTCTTTGGTCTTCTTTTTTTTTCCGTTGAGGAAAAAATGTGCTTGGTATTATTTCATGGTTTTTGTTCTTTTGTTTTTAATATGTCATCTGTGTCCGGTACAGGAAGCAAGTGCCGATGTTTTGCTTCTCCCTGTACAGTTAAGCTTATTACCAGTTCACTAATTTAAAAATGCATTGTTCTTTTAAGGTGATTCCTTAGTAAAAGAACCTAACACAGGTTGTAGATGAAACTTGGTACAGTGATGAAACAAGTCAAGGAGATGACAAAAAAGTAATAAAAAGTGGCGGTCACCGTGCTCGTTTTGATGTCACAATACTGACAAATACGGCTATTTAGGAACCTTTGACAAAAACCACGCGCAGCCCAAAACTAGACAAAAAGGAGAGATTTTTTCGATGATGCATGTGGTATCGCACAGAATTTGACTTTAATGTATTCTTTATCCACTGACGTACCAGAAAAATGCCTTTTAGTGCCTTTGTTTTTACTTAAGGCTCCAAAGTAGAATTAAATTGGACACGTGCTATTCGACCCGTGATAGCTCAATCCGTACAATTTAGTAAAATTGCCAAAAAACTGAACATAGATTTGGGCCAATTTTTTTCTCATCGAGAGGAAGCACTGTCCTTAATAAAATCATGAAGTAAAAAATAGGGGTAACCGTACTCGAGCTGGAGAAAGTGCACACCAAATGCATTTTCTCTGATTTTTGAGAGAGGGCTGGGGCGAGTTTCAAAATAGAATGTATGTGAAAGGGGTAAGAAAGTATTAAAAAAATCCGTTTTTACAGAATTTACATCGAGCTATCACATTTAGGACACAATTTGATAAAGAAAGCGTTTAAATGAAAATCAAAGTGAGTTAGCACAAGTTAAACATCCACTGTCGAGGTTTTCCGTGAGGAAGTTGAACTCAGCAACACGCACACTGCTTCTGTTGTGCACATTCCAAACACATTGAGTCTCATCTCGGCCAGAAACAACCGCAAGCAAAAATTCCAATTAAAAGAGTGGTACAACTGTAAGGCAAAGTTAAAAAAAAAATGAGGAAAAAAAATAGCGATAAAAAACAAAATGTTTCTCATCCCTGCTAGCTTCATTTTTTGAGGTAGCCTCTAACCTGTGATGAGTTGGTCTTTATTCCCTTTTTCTTTGGAAGGTGATAGCAGTCATGATCTGCCTGTAGTCCAAAATCTGGACTTTTGTCTGATTGGCATTCCACCAAGATATATTTATCTTATCCTAATATAATGATACCTTTGATGGGTGGTTTGGCTGCACCATGGTTAGATGCTTAGTTAATTTTGCAATTGGCCCAGCTGTCAAACTCAATCAAGATCCACACAAATCACAATTTGGATGGTCTCAAGAAAAGTTCAAAGTCCGGCCTCGGCCTACACTTGTCTACCGCAAGGGATGAAGTTGAGCTTTCTTTGTAAGTCAAGGAATGGGAAAGGACAACATTCTCTATACTTCTCTCGTTATTCTCTCTCCCAGCCATTTCTGCTAGGTGCATAACAAATCCCAGCGCGGGTCTTTTCCTCAGGGATTCTGCTATAAAATTGCAAAAGCAATCTAATCCCCCATCCTGGGCTAAAAATTGGCAGCAAATGTCAACAAATCCAGTGGTCCATGCCCACATATGTCCCCAGGGAGGATTGACCTCACACCTCCCCCTCTGGGATGACCATTGATAAGTGCATAATCATTAAACTTCAGAGTCATTTTGCAAAAGGTGCTCCATCAGTATAGTAGCCTTCTCTTCTGTTATGGCTGCCGTAAGATACTTTAGTAAAAACTGGTCACCAAAAAGTCAGTTTTGGATCCTGCAAAGACAACAAGAATGCATCATACAATTTCTTCTCCCAAGTCATTTGCTCTTTAAGATGCATGGGTGCTGTCACAACGAAGTCTCTCTTGAGAATCTAACTACTTAACTACCTTGCCTCTTCAAGCTCCATTGCGTATAAGGCCTCCGTCTTGAGAAAGTTGGCAATTACTGTTATTTTTTTATTTTTCTCTTTTTTGTGACTGAAACCATTTTTTAAGCACAGGATTATTATTCTCTGTTCTATAGGTTGCACAGTGAAAGACTCCAATCCATCCATGGAATATTCCAAGTCTTCCAGAGGGATTTTCTTTGAGCATCGAAAGGGATGACGTAACTGGCAGCACATTGTCGGGAAATAAGGTCAAGGCATATATTGCGCACATGAATAAAAAGCACTCAGTTAATTCTATTTTAAAACTCAACCCTTAATTTAAGCCCATGTCGACATATAAATTTTCCAGACTTGAGTCGAGTGTTGGTAGACAGTCAGATTATTTCCTTAGAGAATTTATAGTTGAGAGAATTTGATAAAAGATCAAAGCATTTTCCCCTAGATGATCACTTTATTAATTCTTACCACCTTTTCTTTTGATTGATTATTATTAGGAAAAAATTGATATTGGCCATTAGTGGACCTATAGGGTGAATAATTATTATTACTAGTAATAGTTGACACTAGTTGCCCCTGCTTTGTATGTTGTCGGTCAATGGGATTCTTGGTTGTTGTGTAGCTCTTTGAAACATGCATTGTACTGATTACTGTAAATGAAGATTTTCACACATATTCCATACATGTAATGACCTCACTCTCGGTTAATAAGTACATGTAGTATTTAATTATAACCACAGGAACTGATAGTGTACTTCAAATACGTTTATGACACTCTGAGGTACACTACTCCATTTCATTGATCAATGCATTTTTTATAGGTTATAGGTTTTTTATAGGTTGATTCTCAATTTTAATATTATTTATGATCATGAATAGTTATGGTTATAAGCAAATTGAGAACTAACCTCAGTTATAAAACCTTTTTTAACCTGAATTTCATTTCGACCTACAACATGTACCTGCCAGTTTTGTCATCATTGTTTTATTGTGTGCCATGTAATAGGTACGGAAGTTGGAGTTTCTTCTGGCTGATGCACTGAACGATAAGTGTGACACTGTTTTCACGTGTGGTGGAGTGCAGTCAAATCATTCTAGAGCCACTGTAGTAGCAGCAAGACAGCTCGGCTTGGATTGTTATTTGTTTCTTAGAAGCTCTGAACAGGTCAGCTACATTCATATTGTATATTTTCTTGCAATGTACAAAAATGAACCCCTCTTTACAACAGTCACCTTTACTTGATACCCTTGCTGTTTGAACCTATCCACATTAGCTCACTTATATATTGCTATGGGAACCAGAAAAAAATTCCTGAAGCAAGGGTTGAGAACCAATAACAAATTCAATGTCACGTATGGATTCACTTCCACAGTATTCAAACCTGGGATACATTCACCTCGTTGGAAGGTCCATGCTGTCACTCTCCCAAGTGCTATTCCAACACCCTTGTTTTGCCATCGAATCAGACATTTATCATATTATTAAACCCATCAACAATAGATGAGCATGGGGAATGGTGCCTGAAGAAGGTGGAGCCACAAGACAAGCAGAGCTGATTACGCAGGTATCTATGACAACCTGTGAGCGGGAACTACCAGGCTGATTCCTGTTCGTGTTGATGCAGTCTACAGATATTGGATGTAAAGGAAATATTTTTCTAACCAAAATGGTTGGAAGCCATATTATTATTGTTCCAAAACTTCAATATAAATCAGGCCTTAAACAGATGATGGAGAAAATGGCAGAAAAATTGTAAGTGGCTTTAATGACTTAAAAGGACTACAAAAGCCTTTTTTTCGCTGGAACATTCTTATAGTGATATACATGGCGAGATAAAGCACTTCTGGCAAAAGATCAGAAGACCCTACACTCTTATTGGCCACCCACTAATTGTAAACTCAAGGTTTTTTTGTACCCCCCTTCCCAAGAGAAATTTGATTTCTAATTTCCCTTTTTGCTTCTATATTAAGTATGCTGGAGCCAGTGAATTTATTTCATACCATTAAATAATAATACCTGTCTAATAATATTACATGTAACTGAGTCCAGAATATTGCCGGCCATGAAACTCAAAAATTATATCCTTAAAAGGCCAAGCATAATAGGAGTTTACTGTACGGTATTAATTGTAATCTTATTTATTTTATCAGAAAGCAACAGGGATCCTCAGCATATTTGATAGAGATGTAGGTGGTTCATCTTACACAGGGATGTTTGGTTACTTGACTGCATTTCAAGAGATGATAGAACAGGTATGAGCTTTTTGTATGGAATGGGTTATGTGACATCGATGCATTTTGTTGGTGAAAAGAATATTTTGGCGTATAAATTTTTTAACCATGGTAGATTTATTTCCTTTGTCTCATTACACTGCATGTAATTATTCATGAAATGAGCTTAATAGGAGGCAACGGAAATTGAGTAAAGTTGGGTTAAAAAACTGATTTTAATTTTGTCTGTAATACATGTTCCATGTAGCTATTCATAAAATGATTTCTAAGGTCCTAAGTGACTTTTCATCTCAATATTATTTTTTCAAGCAAATAAAACAAAAACGATTTCTTAAAACACAAGCAAGCGAATATTAACATTAAAAGCCGACGTTTCGGTATCATCATGACACCATTCTCAAGGCAAAATGAATAAATAATGCCAAGATTTGATTTCTAGAGTCTCTACCTTTGTGCGAATCGAGTCCGCCTGCACGTCTAGGGATGGTTTGAGTTTTCTTATAAAGAGCATCTCCTTAATTAGGCAATCAAATTTGTTAGAACCTTTAGTGAGCACATGAAATTGTTCTGAAAGAAAAGGTGGTACGTCCGAGTTATGTTCGCTAAGATAATGTTTATGTTGTAGTTCATTTTTTATCCCAATTAATTTTTATTTTTCCATTGTTTGGGGGTATGGTAATGTATGCTAATGAATTTTAAACAAAGGAAAAACAAAAATTAACTAAGATAAAAAATTAACTGCAACATTTACAAACCATCCCTAAACGTACAGGCGCGCAGACTCGATTCGTGCAAAGGTATTCACTTGAAGAACTTGTGATCCTTTGTTATTATGCTAATTTGTAGAGACTATAGAAATCAAATCTTTGCATTGTTTATTCATTTTGCCTTGAGAATGGGGTCATGTTGATACCGAAACGTCGGCTTTCAACGTTAATATGCGCTTGCTTATGTTTTGAATAAAACAAAGGTAATTTGAAAAGTAATTTGAAAAGAAAATCTACATTTACATTGTAGCACTGATCAGAATTCCCTTGACACGAATTTTTTTTAGGAAGCATCTTAAATGCCAAAGTTTCTCTCTGATCAACCTTGTTGCTTTGTATGGCATTTGGTTATATTTAGTAATGCTGACTTGAGAATTAAGAGCGAATTTTAAGGATTAATTGCAAAGAAAATGAAGCTTTGAAGTGAAAAACTGAAATTATCACCACTCAGCAGAAGGATTTACTGTACACTACTTTATTTAGCAAACATGGTTGTTTATAGTTTGTGCTAAATGCTACTTCTCATCTTTTTGGTAAAAGGTTCCTGTATTTAACAGATGCCTAAATTACCGGTATTAAGAAGGTGCTAGTAGGGCCAGTCCATAGGCATCTACTCAGAAAAGTGTGCACTCTTCTTTTAAGGAAATATAAATTAAAGGATGATCAATCCAGGTCCATATATCTTTTAGCGTCTCACACAGATGTTCTTTGGGAATTGTCACGTGTTCCACTATATGACGTTAGTGGGGCAGGAATGCGTGATGAACCCCTAAGAATGTCTGCCTGGGAGGCTATATATTTTTTAGATTATTTTGTTATTTTGTTAAGTGACTTTTTCCCCTTTGTTAAAAAAAAGGTGACATGACTGTAATTAGGAACTTTGATTTAACGCTGTTGTTTTGCAAGTGAAGATGGTGAAAAAAACGCAAAGTTGGGTTTGCGTCTTATAACCAAGTATTTATGTGAAATTTTCAGTTTGTTAACTTAAAAGGATGAAGTTCAAAAATTCAGGGTGCGTCTTATAAGCGAGTGCGCCTTATAACCGAAAAAATACTTTAGTTTTAATTTGTTAGATCTTAGTAGTTTTAATTTATTGTTTGGATATTTTCATATTTATTCAGAATGTGTTGGAAGATTATGATGATATTGTAGTTACTGTCGGCAGTGGAGGAACAGCATCAGGAATTGCTATTGGCAATTACTTGACTGGCTCAAAACTTAAGTAAGGCTCCAGTTTGCATTGAAATAATAGTTATTTAGGACCAACTATTTAGTTGCTTGCTTACTAAAAGAGATATTTGCACTCTGCTAAAAATGTGGTAACAAAATTAATCTTCTAGACTGACCAGTTCAGTTTTCTATGGATTGTTATTAATTCAGAAAAGAATTTGCCAATATTCCTTTATTTTTTTCTCTGTTTTGGAATAATTTATTGTAAAGGTTGATATACAGGTTAGCCTTCAAAGCAAAATTGCTTCATGATTCCCACCTGTTTTCACTAACAGAGTGGGAATATATGTATATCTGTCTGGATTTGATAAAATTGACAATTTGACCCTTGAAGTCAATAAAACGAAGTTGAAAGTCGCTAGTTAGGGCTTAAAACGGACGAATAAATAGCTGGCACCACACGAAAAGTTGCTCTTGGCAAGAGCGACAGATTTGTAACGAAGTGAACAAGCACAGAAATAATGACCCTTCAGTCTCTTAAACTACAGGTATGAGGTTCATAGCGAGATGCCCGACTAAAACAGACCTAGAATCCACCTTTCGTGACCCCACTATCGGTTGTCTAAGACAAAATCACTTCAACTAAACACTTACAAAGCATTTTCATGCTTGTACACAATATCCTTATAACACGAGCGCCACAACATACCTGAAATCTGTCTGTCAACAACTTAAGGGAATCACACAATTAACCACGTAGTCCAGTCAATCTAGGCATTTTCGAGGCTCAACATCAAACTAATTGCAACAGAATTGTTTTCAACGCCATTTAAGTAAGGGTGGCCTATCTAGCAACATACTAAAAATCCGCCAAAATCCGATCGGTGGAACATGTCAAAATTAAGCTTTAAACATAGGGGACCCACGTTATTTGAAATTATACGTTAAAACAAAAAATGCACAAAATGTGTCTGTTACTTTTATGGAAAAGTGAAAGAAGAAAGAATAACTGCTACCTAGTTTTCGGTGATAAAACAAAGTGTTTATTTCTTAAAAAAAGGATAAATATTAAAGGCGGTTGGCTTTTGCACAGGAAACCCATGCTCCACTCAAGGAACCCCCAAATAACAGGAGGCTTACAGAGTAAGAGAGTGAACTGTTGGCTGTTAAACTACAACAAATTTAGTCGTAAAGCTTTAAATCTGAAAAATGAAGGCCGTTACTTAATCAGATTAAATCAGATTTCTATTAGCTGCAAGAGTAAGAAAAATATATATCTAGTTGGATTTTTAAGAAAGTTACAGCCAAAACAGAGCTCTCCCATCAAACAGTTTTCTCTTTCAAAAACTATCTCCAAAGAAGCCAACATAACAGCTAATAATGCAGCCATTTTTTTTTTCTCTTTCTCCTAACTCTTTCTATTTTTCCTTTCCTTGTTCTTTTCTAGGGGGATTTTCGGGCTCATTTTGCTTTTGGTCTTTTTCTTGTCAAAAGACTAAGACGTTTGATACGTTTTCAAATATCCAGCAAGGTAATACTTTGGCTTTTACGGCTACCTATACATTAATCTTCGTTAACGTACTGACTTCCTCACATATACAAGTTTCACTTTTTTAAAGTTTTTTGTTTTCCTCTTGATAAAAGTGAATTGGACAGGAGAGGAGGATAGTTTTACTAATTCTTTACGATGCACAACAATGCAGAGTTTTTGAGCGGATAAGCTCCAATGACTATGAATTTGATAGGAGAGGAATGCGTTTTCATTTAAGGAAAAGTGTTGTTACCTTCGCAAAAAAATTATAAAGGTTAACGGAACATTCATGGCATGAGAACTTTGGTTCCAGCAAACGTTTGTTTCAAGAAAGCGAAATAGTACAATAAGGAGGCAGGTTTTTAAGGGAAAAATTAACTCTGGGTAGCCAAAACAATGCGTATGTAAAATATATTGTAAGAGTCTATGGAGAAATGGAAATTCCCCACGCAGAGCATAATTTACGCAACTTAGTGAAAAGGTTAACATGTAGTAAGTTGAAGTGTTGCGCAACGCTCATCCGAAGAGAAGCATAGGCTCCGCAAAAAGAGGTGAGCCATCAGAAGCTAAGTCAGGCAAGCCCATTAATGTCGTACATATGTCCAGTACTTTCGCTCCTTCATTGACCGCTGCAAATAGTTTCAGACGTATAGGATCCCATGATCGTTATAGAAAAAGAGGTCTTCAGACTTCATTTGCCAATGGACGAAAAAAAAAACTGGTCAAGGTTCAGGGTTGTTCTCACATAAGAAATGCAAGGAGGGAATATAAACGCTTCGAGACAACAGAGCGATTACTCTACTTATTCATCCTGCCAAGAAGTGAAGGGCTGCCGCAGAAAATGCAAACTAAACATACAGATACACTAAACTAAATCTGAGACTCGCTACAACGAGAATATAAAACTGGAACAATCACACTGCGCTTGGTTTTCTAGATTTCCCTTACAACAGATTTGGCCAGGTGTAATGAAAAGCGCAGACTGAGCGTTAAGATCTATCAAAAACCAAATAGACGGAGTCCTTAGCAGAATATTTATTTACTCACATGGTAAAGCACGGAGTCATAATCCTAAAGGAAGTTGCGCTTGTCGCTAGAAAAAAAAAAGAATCCCTGTTTTCGATCACACATATTGTGTCCAAGGTTTGAACATAACTACTTCACAAAACTCGATTACGTACAGAAAAAGGGAATAGGTGTGAAACAGTTTGTACTGAAACTAAGCTATCGTCCGTTGCACACATTTAGTCGCACGTTATCCTGCAGCATGGATGCAAATTTAGTAGTTGACCGAAGGTGAGCAAAATATCAAACATCAGTCAGCTACTAAATTTGAATCCATGCTGCACATATAAAAAATTAACAGCCTGTAAAACTGCTAAAATACTTACTGCATTTCTGATATTGCGCATAAAAATCAATTATTGTTTTTAACCATGTTAACACAGACTGACTAATAATTTCCCTTTTAAATATCGTCATAGAAAAAAAAAAAGACAAGTGGCTGGGTAACCTGTGCAGAGCCGTCAAGACGAAACACTTACCCTGGTGTTTCTCACACATTAAGCCGGCGTTTTTTAAGTCAAAACTACCCAAAATACACTAGCGATGTTGTATCAAAAATTCTTGAAAAAAAAAACACAATTATCAGATGTTTTGTCAGAATTTGTGATCTTTCTGAAATTGGGCTTCCTGTGGTGAGAGTTGAAAATCTTTATTGCCAATTTTTCTCATGTTTCACCAAACCGATTTTGGCGGATTTTTAGTATGTTGTTAAACAGCCATTCAACAATTAAATGGCGTAGAAAAAAATTATGTTGCAATTAGTTTGATACTAAACCACAATTTGACTGGACTAACGTTCGCGGCACTGATAAAACTATCCACAACCAACCAGACACAATGTTTCCACACTTTTAAAATACAGGCGAAATATCATCACATTACTCTCTCTCAATAACTCTCGCTTTCTCCATATATATCATCACATGTAAACTTTGCTGACACAATCGATTTATTCAAGATCCTGGATGTAGACGAGTCGTTTTGAAAGGGACACATGAACGCCGGCCTTCAAAGTCTCTGGCCTGGTCAGAAATCAGCATCAATTTTGCTCTCACTGAATAGTTTTGACTCCTAAAAGCTACTTTTTAAGGCCAGAGACTCGTCACCGCCCACATCAAAGCTCGCAATATGATGCCTTTTCGTCTCTAGCCCGAGATCCGTGTTTCACCCGTTTAGCCAAAATGAGACGAAATACGGTAACATATTGGACAACGGCAGACTTTGCCAATCGTGAGACTTGTTCCTTCATAAGGCTCAATGATGCCTTCCGGAAACCTTTCTGCGGGCGGCCAAAAAGAAACCTAGAAAATTAACCGACCACAGAAAACAACTTCTACCGCGCACGCTGATTTCAAATGTCATAGTGTTTTATGACAAGGACAGAATTATGAGAAATGATAGGTAGGGGAGAGCTGCGTGGGCGGAGGGGGGGAGGGGAAGATGTAAATAGCATATTAAACACATGTTTTTTGATCTACTGCACCTTTTAAGGGGATTTTTGTACTGAAAAGATCATTAAAAAAAAAAAGAATGGTCAAGTACTGAACAAGCCTCAAATGAGACTGTTGCTAAAAATTTCTGGAGGTACCTTTTATCAAATCCACACAGATATATTTTCTATATATTCTGAAAACAGAATATTATATAGAAGAAGTGACTGAAGCAAATGCTTTAATTTTTTTGCCATAATAGTGTAATATAAGCAAGCGAATATTAACGTTAAAAGCCGACGTTTCGGTATCATCATGACACCATTCTCAAGGCAAAACGAAACGAAACGAAACGTCGGCTTTTAACGTTAATATGCGCTTGCCTATGTTTTAAGAAATCGTTTTTGATCAAGACTTTAAAATAGTGTAATAAACCTTTTTTCCCTGGGGTTCCTCCCTGGACTACTTGGTAAAAAATAAACAACAACAAACAAGCAAAAAAATCACTTGGCAGTAGTTAAGGCACTTTCTAGTCAGTCAAAAAGTAAATAAAAAGAAGAAAAGCAGAGTCAGACACACATACAGGAGGCAGCATGGCCGAGCTGTTAGCGCATCGGACTCGCAATCCGGTGGTCCCGGGTTCGAGTTCCGCTCTGGCCACTTGCTGGATTTGTCCTCGGTCGTCCCGAGTTCATATCCTTGGCCACACTTGTCACTAGCCAACTGGTTGCCTTCTGCCAGTTGGGGTTTTTAATCCTATTATGTTGTATTTGAATTATTTGTTTCTAAGTATTTGAGTGGAGTGCCTGTAAACTAGCTGGATAAGCTAAGTGCACTTTCCACTATAAACAAGCCTTTAAACCTTTAAAAGCAAACAGATGTAAATCATCCAAACTGTCCCTTTTGCAATTCAAAAGCTATGTTTGCTTTTCTTTCTGCTTAATTTCTTCTGTTCTTTTGTTGGGAAAAGTGAAATTTTGTATGTTCATGGCTCAGTCAGTAAGATTTGCAAAATGTTGTGGATGTTGTGCAAAGGTTAAAGAGATTTACTGCTTCCTAAGGAATTGTTCATGAGTATACGGTTAATAGTTTTAATCGGCTGAACTTCCAGTGGAGGGGGTTACTCCCAATAATGGCCTATTTGGGGAGGCTACCCCCAAAGGGGTACCATTTTTTAGGCTTCAGGTACATGAAAAGGTGGAAATTTCAAATGATGATACGAAAGAGTAGGGAAACGTGTGATTTCGGTCTGTAACTAAGGCCCAAAAGGGCTGACATCTGCACCATATTTTTATGGCTGCGAAATAGTTGAGAAAATGTTATGTTTTTGTGATTGATTCATTCAAAATTCAGAGTGAATTTACAACAGCTAAAAGGGATGCAAAGTTCTAAGCTTAACAGGTGTGTGGAAGGGGTACACGAAAGAGACACCTTTTCTGTCAAAGATGTGGTAGTATAATTATTATAAATGGGTATTAAAGGGATTGTTCCTTTGGACAAAGCCTACAGAATGTAGTCCCTGTATATAACTTGGTAAAAAAATTGAAGCTGTGAAAAACTTTGCTTTTTTTCAACTTTGTAGATGCCATGCAGTTAATGTGTCTGACAATGCAGCTTATTTTTAAAATAAAATCAATGAAGACCTTAGAATTGAGGGAAGTGATGTCAAAGCAGAAGATATTATAGATATTATTGATAGCTACAAAGGAGGAGGATATGGCGTGTCAACTCAACATGAGCTAGGTGGGTACACTCTTGTAGGACTGGGGTAATTGTTTTTCAAACAGATGATATTATTAGTATTAGTGTGAGGAGGTGTGTCGCAACTGCTCACTGGATTGGTTGGGAAAACAATGAACAAACAAAGTTAACAGTGACACCTAACCCCAAAACAAAAGAGCTGCAACATATTGGGGTACAACAAAAATGTTATGAGCAATCAATGTGAAGGATGTGTGTAGTTGGGGGGGGGGGGGGGCGGTGGTGTCCACTTGTGTATACTGTTAAAGTTGTTTGCTATAATTTAATTCTATACAAACGAGATTCTACCTGGCAACTTCCAAATCTTTCCTCACTACCCCCAACTCTTCTCATACAGTGTAGGTTGACCACTGAATTTAATTCGAAAACCTGTGTAATCTTCCTGGCTTCTTCAATTCACATGACATACAATACAATACAACTGCTTCCAGCTAAGTCTTTAAAGTTGGTAACATTGCACAGTCTATGACGTCAGAGGGTAATATTACCGAAATCACTGCAGGGAAGGGGGAATACATGCTGAGAATTGACGGAGTCATCATTAAAATAGCAATTGGTTGAATCTTTTGGTGTGACTCGACAAGTGGTGTTCTTTGGTTTTATTTTGACTTATTTTACTTTGTTGTCAAATTGAAGAGAACATTATTCAGATTTCGAGAACAACTGGGATATTGGTGGATCCAGTATACAATATAAAGGCGATCAGGGGAATGTTAACAGAGATGACAAATAATCTTGGAAGATTTAAAGGAAAAAGAATACTCTACATCCATACAGGTACAATTTTTCATCACTATATACATCTTCCTCCGTCTTACATAGTGTTTAATTTAGTCTTTCTGTCACTGATAGAGAGCCTGTCAAAAGCTTCGCAAAACACAAATTATTTGCTCGTTGGCAGTCTTAGAATCTAAAGGCCTCTTTTGAATTTACAAATTGATCATAGTTAGTCTGGAGAGGCCTTCGGATACTTATAAGTGTCGCTGCTTAGTAGTCTGCTCAGGCAGGATGGAGCATTGAATTCAGCTTCAGGCATTTACGACTGACAAGTTTGACTTTCTTGGGTGCAGACATAAACATATAAAACTGTGTGTTAATACTATTATAAAACTGGTTTACATAGTCCACACTGTCGACTGAAATTACAGAAAGAATATAGGATTTCCGGTTTGTAGAAAAAGCAACCCGCCTTCGAAACACCGGAAGCGTGGGAAGAGCCCTAGAGCCAGTCCCTCTCCTCATCAAATATCTCTTGAACAGCGGAGTGCATGTTTCGTCGCCTAACTATTATCTGACTAGGTGGGGTGGTTGGTCTGTATGATGGCAGAATGGATTCCTTGATCACAGGGTTGCCGTCTTCAGAGGGAATAAAGCAAGTTTCTTATTGGGAAGACATAAATGATCCTCTGCCATTTCAACAGTAAAATAAAAATAAATAATAAAGAAACAAGAAGAAAAGAGTAAACGCAAGAATGGAAACCGATGACCTCCCCCTCTCCAACTTGTCCTTCGCAGCGAGAGAGAGACGGTTAAGAGGATATCCAACAGCCGAGTTTTTCGGGATGCGGGATTTACCTTATTTGAATATAGGAACTGGGGATATTAATGTAAAATGGCGGCGAGATTCGGGTGTACATGGGATGCGGGATTGCCGAGGGGTCTTAGGATCGGAGGATCCTATTAGAGACGCACGCTTACCTATCAAACTAAATGTTTAGTCCATGTCCCAATGAGAGCATAGTGGAATGCTATATATAAACATGAGTATCATACAGGCGTTTCCATGCGCTTTGAAAGCCAGTGCCAGAAGAACGGCCGCCCTGGAGCCATAGGTGAGTGACCGTCTTTGAGAGACTAAAACAAGAATGCGGCATGGACTGCATGGACAGAATAATTAGACTGTCCTCCACCGGGACAAGAAAAACTGACTGTTGCCGAGAGATGGCTGTAAGAGGACGTTAGACTGTGTAAAAAGTAAATTTGAGTATGACAATTAAGTTGGGATGCTTAATGTTGGCTGCGTGATGGTGATGGCCGCGTGCACAGAGATCTGCTTGCGTATTCTTTTCAACGTTGAAATATACAATTAAACCTGAGTATCTAGAGTGATTAAGTTGATTTTGCCGATTGAAAGTCAACTTAGTGTCAATGATTTGAGAAAATTAAAACTGTTAGCTACCCTGATGGGTCCAGTCGAGAGTTTGAGGACATGGAGTAGCCTTTCTTTCTTTTCAATTGACAGAATAGAAGTCCTGATGGCGTGTCATTCCAAAGTCACGCACCTACAGCACCATAGGAACCCATCTGATTACATGTTTTCACAAATTCCCCCATTAACACCCGCCTGGAATTTGATCTTTATGGTAAATTCAAGTGGCTTGACATTTGCAATTCACAATACAATATCACGTTACATGCATCCCGTGATCTTAGCATAGTGTGACTTTGGACATCGCGTGTCTAAATTTAATTTAATTTTGGTCACGCTACGTCGCCTATAATTGTTGACATCTCCGAACTCGTGATCTTTCTTCGTTGATTCCAAAAGTATGCAGTTGCGTCTGAGGAAATTAAAATGGCGCTGGGAACATCGCCTTGGTTGATGAACATAGATTCGTCCATTTAGTACCTTTTCTTCGATTGCACAGGTATTTAACAATTGATTGGCGTGATTGTCGTTTGTCCAGACTGATTATCTCGTCTCTAACGTTGTACAGAGTGTAAATTTCCATGTTTGTTTCAGGATTGCAGAGGAATACAAACCTTGCACTGGTCTGACTAGCGCTTGGTGAATCGATTTTTATTTGCAACCACCTAAGGAATATTTCAGAAAGCCGACGAAAAGTTTGGATCAAAGGCGGAAATGTTATAGTCTCTCCTACTTACAGCGGTATGTAATAATAAAGGCTGCTGATAAAAGCAACTCAAAATATTTCTTCCCAGTATATCGATCAGTTGCTAGCCTTAAAACAAATGCGGTTGGTGAGCACCTGAGCACATGAAGGCCAAATGCTGTTTCGTGCTTTCCAGAAAAGTGATCGATTCGCGTTTAGGAGAAATTCGTTTCTTTTTCATTCCTGGCCTCTTCTCATGGTATTTCTTGAGGCTGCACGTCTTTTACAAGGTAATGTTCATTCTTTTGAAAAAAGTTATATTGATGATAATCTTTAGGTTTCTTTCTGATTTACACCTTCACTCTCTTTGTAAATGCAAATGGCAATGTTTCCGCATCGGTAACCTAACTTTGGCTGTATTTCGTTGAGAATTAATAAAAGTTGAGTTGTTTCTCAATTTAATTGACATCCAAGAGAATCTTGAGAAGAACTGAGCATCAGCGAAATTAAATCGGAATTGAAAAGGAAAGTTGAATTTTGTATATCAAAAGTAAAACAGGAAGTTAGGTACGTAGTGCAATCCCAGCATGAGTGCAGACCTTGTTCCCACCCGCCATAATATAATGGTCAAAGAAGCTTGCCTCCTGTTTTTTTCCGTTGGACGTTTTTGCGGTCGTGAACCGAATAATTCTGAAAAGAAAAATCCAGCTACTAATTGACGTTATCAGATTGTTTTCAATTGGATTGAAATTTTGCAACGTGCGTGAGATAGGAAGCTGTCATTAATTGTAATTATTATGTGTTTTGTACGGCACCTCTATGCATGACTTACGTTTTAAAAAATCTTGCAAATACCGAAAATTTAGGTAATAGAAAAAAAGAAATTTGTTTTGAAACTCAGCCGACATCGCTTACTTATGGCCAATTTAACTCTGCTGACTCTGGTTTTGTTCGCTTTTTGTTTACTTTATTTTCAAACACCATGTACAGTTAATTCGCTGTTTACTGGGTTTAGGAAGTGGTCTGCTTCCATGTAACTTATACATTTCTGGGAATGTTGCGCAACTATGTACTGGTTAACAATTGTTAATTCGAGTTCGCTCTGACCGCTAAATTAAAGAAGTGAAGACGCATTTTTCACAGTCTTAGCCTCAATCTGAAGTAATATATTCACAAGTTCCAACGAGAAAAAAAGACCTGTTTATTACTCTGTCTATTGTGTATATTCAAATTTCAAACACTTACCTGCCAGAATTTCTGAATATTTTACTTTACGTCGAGGCTAACCCTCTATGAATGTGTCGTTAATGTTTATATTCAGCGGTAATTTTTAATTCGAAACTGGACTATTACTCATTGCTTAGACTTTCACAAAGTCCTGCGCTGTCGTGCGGTTTTGTCAGATTGCGCTTACCGGTGGCCGCTGGCCTTTGAGTTAATGTTTACCCGTATTACTGATAGAATTGATAGAGGTCGACGTGGTCTGAAGTCTAATCGTTCCTAGCTACAATCCTGGACAAACGTCCTTGGGATAGTGATTAGAAATTTTCTGACATTTCTGGGTACCCTAATAAAGCAGTGGAGCCTTTTCGAAAATATCTGGCAATTCTCTCTTCCCCCACCCTATACAATTTTGAAACTCTGGAAAAAAATTCTGGATACACGCGTGCAACCTTGTTTGTGGGGTAGGGGAGGGGTCGTTCATGTGCCCTACATATGTAAATGTGTCACTAGACGTTTGTCCATGATTGTAGCTTGTTGACTGGTGTCAAGCCACCATAACAAGAGTGTAGAAAAAATAATCATATTCAGGAGTTGCACTCTTCTTTCAAGATCAAATTGTGCCATGAATTTGAGAGCAACGGTTCTTACTTCAGGAAACTGAAAATTGGCATGAGTGATTTAATAGCGAGAAACCTTAAACTTCACCAGAAAATGTTTAAGGTTTAAGGGATTTTTTTGTTTGTTTTGTGTTCATGCAAACAAAATTAACTTTCACTTGGTAATTCATTTTCAATCGTATTGTCCATTTAATGTCTACGAGAGGACTGATCATGAAAAGGGCCCAGCAGTGGTACGTAAGGGTCAAGGGTAAGTGTTATAAAGAACTAATATTCTATTTAGAACTCGTTGGCACTACTGCGTAATTCACTTTTGGGCTTAGCATACTGTCATTCTTATTTTTGTCAATCTGCTGATAACGTTCAGTGTAGTCACAATTCATATAAAGCCTTTGTTAAAAATACTTTTAAATGTTTATTTGTTATTTGAGGATTTTACAAACTGAGAGCAAATTCCAACTTAAGGTACTTGTAGAAAATAGAGCATTAATATTAATAAAACTTTGGCCCTTTTTTATTATAGGGATGATGATCTAAATTTTGTCTACTCTGATGGCTTCTGTGCATGTTCCAACATTAGCTCCATCCTCGAAGGAGACGGCTAATTATGCAAGATTATGTCGCCTTTTAGTAGATGGAGGCACCAAGGCGTTGAGGTACACCTTTGACAAGTTCCACTCCCCAGCAAACCTGTTTAATATTTTGAAAGCTGGTTCTGCAGAACATTCAACTCTGCAGTCCATTAGAAAAAGGAAAATCATCAATGCCACACAGTGGGGCAAATTGTTTCCCTCTCCTCCTTCGTCTGTAACATCAGAAGACTTTGACATTACGCTACTGGTGGTGCTTCTGAGGAATATATGTGGTCTGCCTGCTCCTGCCACAGGCTGGGACAGTTTGCCACCTGCTTCAGACAAGAGTGTTGAGGCTAACATAGCCAGAGTTAAGCACTATAGGAACGCTGTCTATGGGCATGCCAGCCAGGTGTCTGTGGAGGATCCAAAATTTAATTCCTTGTGGCAGGATGTAAGTGCCACACTGGTCGCACTTGGTGTAGATGCAGCTGCTATCGCAAAACTAAAAACTGAGCCTATGGATCCAGACAAGGAGACGCATTACCGAGAGCTGTTAAAGGAATGGAAGAAAGACGAAGATAACATTAAGGACCAACTTAACAGAATGGAAGGTATCTTAACTAGTGTCTTGGGTAAATAAGTGTATATAAATAGGATATAGTATGTAAATATACTATTGCAAATTTTGAAATGAATGTTTTAAGTTTTGCTGAGGATAATTAGAACATCTAGTTTTACATTTGTACACACTTTTCTTACACCTTAATTAGTGGGGCCATCCCTAGTATTGTGCATTAGCGGTTTTGGTGTTCGCCTTCTCCACAACTTTTCTTTAAAGTGGCGATTAATTTAATTCAATTTATTATCAGCTTGTAATTTAGTGGAGAGAGTCTGTAACAAATACTGAACGATACGAATGGGCTGTGGACGGGAATGAAAGCTTCGAATTGGACAAAAATTAACTTCCATCTACAAAGGAAACATTCTATACCTATAAACTGGCATTTAACCTCTGAATGCCGATAAGACGACCACTTACAAGCTCTTTAATTTTTTCAACTGATATGATTTTAACTTGTCCTTAACAAAAGGTGTTTGATGAAAGCCTAATTTTGCCTAGTGCATTCTTCCCCTGACAGATAGAACAAGAGAAGAGCTAAAGGAGATAAAAAACAAGATGGAAAGCATCAGTGAAAACTTGAAGACTTTACAGGAATCTCCGACCCGCGAGGAAGGTCAGTTTCCCCGACCTGTAGCCCGCTATGTAAGGCCAGAATTGCTGATCGATCAATGACCATTTGTCTGTATCGCTCTTGGCCCCAAAAAAAACAATTCTGTATCCAGCAAGGAATTTCTCAAGAAGATCCCATATTGCTGCAATTTATTCATTTGCCTTCAATAAAAATTGTGATTCTTTCAGCGAGTGACATGACAGATGGCACACCTTGGACTAGAACGAAACGCCCTAGGGTGTTTATAGCTCCCTGCTAGAATGCATGGCGGGTATCTCGGTTTCAAATGTACCGAGGGGTAGCATAACTTAATTTAAATTTGTAGCAAGTATTTTTGTTTTGCAGCAGTATTTTTATTTGCTGCATGTCCCTTGCGGGTCACGGTAGTTACTCTCCCCAGATGAAAAAAAGATGCAGCCTTTCAAACCCAGCAAGCACGCGAGAAAATACCCTAACATCTTAGCAGGAAGAAGTTCATAACCACGAATATAATTGCCCTGCTTCTCACAAATTCAAGAGGCCTGCTAAAAGGCGGCCTTTAAACAAAAAAGAGGGCCTTTGTTATGTTTCGTGTCCTTTATACTGAAGGGACCCCTCACAGCAGGTGTAGTCTGGGATGTTTTACGCTTGCTTTAAATGGTGCACATAGCCAGGAGAGAAACTAATTGTTAAAAGGTACGTTTTGTTTTTGCAAATCGCCTTCTCCTAGCATGATTCTACAGGCTGTTCTATTCATTTGTGTTACGGACTTTGAAAGTAGCAAACCAAATTGTTTAAGACAAATGTCTAAACCAAACAACTGGAGAACTGACAATTTGACTAACAATAGACGACTGTTTAACTGTGACAATAGACGGATCGAAACGCACCAATCACTGATTACGAGTCTTCATAGCCAATAACATCACGGCTTAACTGACAGACGACCAATAACATCACGACATAATTGACCAACCAGATCAATAACCAGAGTATGATACCATCAACTGACGTGATACAACTCACTTTGACTCTGAAGATGACTACCGCACAGGTTGTCGAAACGTCAGTCACTGTCAACAACAACAGTCCTATTCAGGACTACGTTCACCCGGACGATCAAACTCAACCTTTTATCTAAACCAAAGTTTGGCTCTCATTTATTATCAACAGTTGATTTGGCTGCCGAGCATATTGAAATCATTCGCCAGAAGTACAAACGTCATGAGGGATGGCTCACGCCCTTTCCTTGGTGCGAAGACTTTCAGTTTCAACTAGGCAGTATTTATACACGGCTTCGTATGGTCAGCAGAGAGAAAAAAGCGAGAGCAACAGCGGAGCAAAGAGCTGTTGAAACGACTGAAATCTTCAAACCCCACGAAGAGTGCAAACAACCTAGAAAAGTATTGATTGAAGGAAATCCAGGTATAGGAAAGACGACATACTGCAATAAGGTTGCTTACGACTGGGCTATAAACATAAAAAACGAAGGAGGTTGCTTTCCGGAATTCGAGATGGTGCTCTTGCTGAAATGCCGTGATGTCGAGATCGAGTCCGACCTTTGGGGAGCTATTGATGATCAGCTTTTGCCAGTTGAAATTCAGCGAAAGGAAAGAGAGAAATTCTTCGAGTACATTCGGCAAAATCAATCAAAGGTTCTACTGATACTTGACGGATTGGACGAGTTACCTCCGGACAAACTGCCGGAGTTTACGGACATCATACAAGGTAAAATGCTTCCTCTCTGTCACCTTGTGGTTACAGCACGACACGAGGCTGGGATAGCTATGAGAAAGGTTTGTGACACTCTGCTAGAGATTGAAGGTTTCACTTATCAAGATAGCGAAGAATTTATTCTCAAATATTTTGCCGGCAAGGAAGATTTGGCCGAAAAGCTATTGGATAAGATACGGAATGAGAAAAGGCTTGAAGAGATGACAGCGAACCCGTTAAACACTGCACTGCTTTGCCTTCTTTGTGAAGACTTTCAAGGTATTTTACCTGAAAGTAGAACTCAGTTGTATGTCGAAGTAGTACAATGTGTTCTTATCAGAAACAGGAAAAAGAAAGGTTTTCCAGTCGAAAATGATCAGGATTTTATTGAAATCTACAAAGATCAGTTGAAACGCCTTGGTTTGATAGCTTTAAACGGCCTGTATGAAGACGACATGTACTTTGAAGACAAAAAGCTTTCAAAAAAAGATGCCGACCTACCTGGATTTGGGTTTCTATCAGCTCAACCAGGAAGCAGCAAACGAAGACCATGTATGTGCTACGGCTTTACGCATAAGAGTTTTCAAGAATTCTTCGCAGGACATTATCTTTGTTGCCAGCTTGTTAGCAAAATAACCAGTCCTGAAATATTGGTCACTGACACAAGATATTTCCGAGAGCTAAGAGAGGTATTGAAATTTACCTGTGGTCTGCTTGCAGTGAGGTCTGAAGAAAGTGCAGTAGCCCTAATCAACTGCATAGCGAATGAGGTAAACAAAGCTGATGTGGAAGAATGTTTACCTGTTGCACTTGAGTGCATTAAAGAATGCAAAATTGAAAACAGTTGTTTTCATATACACTTGGCACGTACATTTGGCGCATGTCTGAAGGTTCAACAGGCTCAGGCGCGTAATCATGGAGTTATAGATGACGCTGCTGCTGCTGTGCTTGCTTCCGTGCTTGAAGCAAACACAACTCTCACAAATTTGGATCTCCATGGCAATAACATTGGTGCTACCGGTGCTGAGTCACTTTCTACAGCGCTTAAAACAAACACAACTCTGACACATTTGGATCTGTCTGGCAATAACATTGGTCCTGGCGGTGCTGAGTCACTTGCTACAGCGCTTAAAACAAACACAACTCTGACACATTTAGATCTCCAGGGCAATAACATTGGTGCTGGCGGTGCTGTGTCACTTGCTGCAGCGCTTAAAACAAACACAACTCTGACAAAGTTGGATCTCCAGGGCAATAGCATTGGTCCTTTCGATGCTGAGTCACTTGCTACAGCGCTTAAAACAAACACAACTCTCACAAATTTGTGTCTGTCTTATGGCAATAACATTGGTCCTGCCGGTGCTGAATCACTTGCTAAAGCACTTGAAACAAACACAACTCTGACAGACTTGGATCTGTCTGGCAATAACTTTGGTCCTGTGGGTGCTGAATCACTTGCTACAGCGCTTAAAACAAACACAACTCTGACACATTTGGATCTGTCTGGCAATAACATTGGTCCTGGCGGTGCTGTGTCACTTGCTACAGCACTTAAAACAAACAAAACTCTGACAAATTTGGATCTCCGGAGCAATAACATAGGCCCTTTCGATGCTGAGTCACTTGCTACAGCGCTTAAAACAAACACAACTCTCACAAATTTGTATCTGTCTTATGGCAATAACGTTGGTCCTGCCGGTGCTGAATCACTTGCTAAAGCGCTTGAAACAAACACAACTCTGACAGACTTGGATCTGTCTGGCAATAACATTGGTCCTGCGGGTACTGAATCACTTGCTACAGCGCTTAAAACAAACACAACTTTGACAGATTTGGATCTGTCTGAAAATAACATTGGTCATGCCGGTGTTGAATCACTTGCTACAGCGCTTAAAACAAACACAACTCTGACACATTTGTATCTGTATCACAATAAGATTGGTCCTGCCGGAGCTGAGTCACTTGCTACAGCGCTTAAAACAAACACAATTCTGACAAAATTGGATCTGTCTGACAATAACATTGGTTCTAGCGGTGCTGAGTCGCTTGCTACAGCGCTTAAAACAAACACAACTCTGACAAATTTGGATCTGTCTGACAATAACATCGGTCCTGCCGGAGCTGAGTCACTTGCTACAGCGCTCAAAACAAACACAACTCTGACAAAGTTGACTGTGTCTGGCTGGCAATAACGTTGGTCCTGCTGGTGCTGAGTTACTTGCTAAAGCCCTTAATACAAACACAGCTCTGAAACAATTAATTTTGTGGCACGGTAATGACATCAGTGAATCTGTTTACAAGAAAATTGACGATGAACACGGTAACCGTATCCCATTTTAAAAGTTTAATATCGTGCGGTTTTCTCTTTTTCTTTAATTCTTTGCCTTTTGTTGGAAATTAGAAAATTCAAAAAGTACTAGTTACTCACAGAGTCTCATTTTCCCTTTTTTGTTTCTTTTTGTGCTTTTTTTACACATACGAACAATCTGGTTTGTTAGTTAGACCCTGGCAAGAAGCTAGTTCATGCCATGACAAAAAAAAAATCGGCTAACAAAGTAATGTAATCGAAATATATGTACATAGAGGGCTGTCCGTTAGACCCCTTTGTTTTACATTTTTTTAAGCCGAAAAGTGCCAAATGAAAACTTTCTGCTTTGACAGATCGATCCCTGGCCTTGTGATACAGTTTTTCATTAATCATGTAATGTGTAACAGTGAACACTGAGTCCTTTAATTTTGTACGTATCAGGCCACTTAAGGCATGGCTATCTAGTTAAATATGCATATTTTGATAAAATGCTATCTAGAACGGTTTGCTTCTATCAATGATCCTGAAAACTGAACTACAAATGTAGCTTAATGGCCTTAGCAATATCTAGTGAGACATTTTAGAAGCTCAAAGTTTTGTCACGTCACTGATAATTGGGAATTAACGGTCAAAATATTTACTCTAAAAAGGGAAAGGATAGTGAAGGAGCAACAAGTTCTTTTATGTACATTTCAGAGGCTATTAAAAAGGTTCTGAAAACTTCGCCTTGTATGTGTGTTTAGGTTAAATAGGAATCGGTGAATAAAAGGAAAAGGGTCACGTGACTCATTAATTATTAAAAAGCTAATAGGATAAATAACATTTCGAATTATACAAAGCAGATTTACGATTTACACTGTTTGTGTAACATTTCGGTATTCCGAAGATTAAGGTTTGCAACCCTTCCCGTTTAGGAAAACCTGTTTTGTGACGTCATTTACGAAGCAATGTTACGTGTTATTTGAAATCACGTTACACGTGTTTTTTTTCATTGAGTCACGTTTGTAGCTCACTTTTCAGGATCACTGATGGAAGCAAACCATTTTAAGGGCCTGCTGACATGGAGGTGGGGGACCCCCAGTAGGTAACCCACGTAGGTGGGTAACCCGCCCTGCCATATAATCACTCATTTCAATTTGATCACATTTACATGATAGGTGGGGTGACCCGCCACGAGTTACCTCACCTACCTGGGGTCCCCCACCTCCATGTAAACAGGCCCTAAATAGCATTTAACAGAATATGCATATTCAATTAGGTAGTCATGCTTTAAGTGGCCTGAGGTGTTGAGTTCAAGTTTTTAGAACTTGTGGATTAGCGTAAATAGACTGTGTTATGTGGAGAATCTGCATGGGGATGATTGGATACTATAGTTATCAGTCAGACTTCCAGCGATATTTCAGCCATCTGTTAATTTTGTACCTCAGAACTCGGCTTAATCGGATTAATAAGGAATAGATTCGTCAATTTCTCAGCTGACGGTTAAAATGTTGGCCAATTTTCAGCTCTCAGTTAAATCCCATCCAGATCCTCTATGTAACTAGTAACTAACTACGTTGTATAAAAGACTGAAACAAGCTTTGCTTACACTTGTACTTTTAAGATGTTCATTGTTTCGGTTCAGTTAAGGTTTGTTAACATGCAGTGCGAATTGTACATTCTGAGACTACTATTGAAACTTGTGACAAGTTCGTGTCAAGTTCTCGCCGTAACAAGCATATATAAGTCATCGCAGCTGATCGACACTTGCCGGTAAATAAAAGTATTGTGAAGTATTATTAAGAAAAACGTGTGCTCGTTTCCTTATTAACTCCACCTGATTTTTTTATATATATCGTGCACAAATACGAAATATTAAGAAAAAAGTACTGGTGTTGTACCTGTGACGGGTGTTGTCCCTCTGACGAATGTTAAAAAAAGAAACAAACAACAACAACGCTGTCCGGCTCGGGTTCAAGCCCACGCGCAGTGGAATACTCTCTAACGGTCACCATCTCCAGTGAGCCAACAATTTCTTGCGTGGATTAGCCTTCGTTCAAGTGTATCCGATAAAAACGCTAACCGAAGTCCTAACTGACAGATGAAAATAGAAATTTTCGAAAACGATGAAGGAACAGCATCGGATCTCACGCGGGATAAGAATGTTTCATTTTCTTAAGATTTGTGGCATATCTTATATTATTGTAGTTTTTTGTTAAAATGCCCAAGCTTGCTTTTTTTTTCAAGTTTCCACCGGACTCGAAATCGAATTGTTGAACGACTCAAGAGAGGTCCACAGGCAACACCTAGAAAAGGATTTTATAGCTGCGAAAAATTCGAGAAATTGCTCTGGTTTTGTGATTTTTTGATACTTAATAAAGACATTGTATTTATAGCAGTTAAAAGGGATGCAATTTTCTATACTAGGTATGTGAAAGTGGTACCATTTGTCCGTGGAAGGTATACGAAAGGGGTGCCATTTCTCTCAAAAATGGTATGGAAAAGGATCAGGGGTTGGACCTCGGGGTGATCAGATCGATCGACTTCGGTCATATTTTAATTTACTGCACACATTCGCCACTTTAATTAGTTTCCTTCAAGAAATCCAATTTTTCCCTCGTCCCCAGGGCTGGGCTTAAAGCTCAAGCTCCTTGGTCGGATTTTTTTATGAATCTGCCAACCTGATCATGGAGCCTGTACCGGTTTCCGAAGAAAAGTTGAAGGGGGGAGGGGGGTGTAGTTTCTCTCTCCACCGTAAAAAATGTGGCGCCGTCCCCGTTCAAAGAAGAAATAGGAAGATTTAAGCAAAGAAAGCAAGATGGAAAATGATCAAATCAGAACAGGGAAGCGCGCTAGGAGGTACTTATCGGTTTTGTTGCTTGGCAACTGCGGACACCATAGGCTCCTGTCCGATATATAGAAATATCAGGTCCATTATGGGCTCATGGACATATATATGACGAAACTGAGATCGATCATATCACAATAACCGATCCATGAGGGAGCAACGTGGCAAGTTCTCGACAAATTGTACCAGCCCGGATCATATAATGTCATGTAATTTGCCTCTTGCCAAAAAAACGTTTCTTTTGGATGAACAATGAGCGCGTGGGGGAGGACAAGCCTACGAAATGGCTGCAGAGTATGTGCAGAGAGGACGGAATATGTTGTCTATAAAAACCACATTTTCGTTCATACAAGAACCGCTGGACGAAAAGACATGTACTTGGATTCGAAACAATTTTGCTCACAAAAGGGGTATTCATGTAATAAAACCAGGCCACTTTGTTAGATTTCTTTCGTTCCTTTTTTCCTACACGCCAAAGCGACTCCCGTCTAGCAACACGTTTGCAGAAGAGAGGGTAATTTGGCCATGGTTGAGACCTTTTGTTGATTCATCCGTTTTTGAGACCTGATCCCTAGTACCAAATTTTTCATAGGTAACGTTTTAAGATTCCCTTTTTTCATTTTTCTATGTCAACGTTATTGCAATAGGCCACTTACATGATGGCGTCATTTTAATACTATGCCCAGAATCTTTTTTGTGATTCCTTAGATTTATGCATATTTACTTTTGTTCATTCCAGTGAGGTTTATAGGTACCGTAAAACGGGTATTTAAAAAAACCCATGCAACTTGTTTTGCACCATTGCTGCAAAACGAGTTGAATAGCGACGATGTTGCGCGTTTTACCACCCACGAATTAAAACCTTTCAACTTTATGTGTTGCATTGATTGGTAAAACGCACAACATCGCTATTCAAATCGTTTTGCAGAAACGTTGCATATAAAGAAGGTCATATAAAAGGAAGGTTAATCTCAAGAATCTTATTTTTTTCTTATTATTATTTTCTTAATTATTCGTTAATTTGTTAAAGAAGACCAAAATGTTTACAAAACCGCGAACAAAAGCGAATTGATACATAGTAATCAAACCCTTCTTTCTAGCAATCGGCTGGAGCTATCTCCATGATCTTTCACACAAGTTTTAAAAAAGGTTGAAAACACTGTGAGGTGAAATTACATGTCAAAAGCGATTCGTTTTGTTCAGGTAACCGTCCATTTTTTACTGTTTCTAACCATAAAAACTTCATCTTAAAATATTTCGATAAAGCTCTTACAGATTTGGCTTCAACTTCACGAACATTGAGGCCGTCATTGGAGGAAAAAGCTCCCGTGAACGATTTTGGAAGAACAGTTTCCAGTGCCAAGATATATTGCTGCAAATAAAATAGGTAATAACGTCATTTCGTTGCTATGACAACTCCGATGTCGTTGCAACCATGATCACAACAAACTTTCATCTTTATTCAATACAACTGTGGTAGCAATTTTGACAAATCTTTGTTTTGAGCGACGAAATGTATGCTCAAACTTGGGAGGTATTGACCCTGAAAAACTGCGTCGAGCCACCTTAATATAGGTCAGCTGTACCGGAACTGCTCCGCTCTCTAGGCGGCGATGTTTGTACAGTTTGACGCAGTTAGACTGCAGGTAAGATAGATAGATAGACAGATAATCTTTATTTATCCACGGTACAAAATTCGTCAGCTTTAAAAATGCCTAATACTAATATAATGAAAATATTTAAATAAAAAAGCTGCTTTCCACGAATGCCGTGCCTTACAGTTCTTTGAGTAATCGTTTAAATTGCCCAAGGGACTCTGCTTCCCTTAAGTTACAAGGAAGACTGTTCCAGAGAATGGCGCCACTATAGCTGAACTGTTTTTGTAATAGTTTGTGCGCGGTAATGGAACATTGAGTTTATTTTCAGAGTCCCTTAGGTGATATGCGACTTCTCGCCTTTCAAATTTAGAACTAAGATAGTTTGGAGCCAACCCGTGCAGAGACCTGTAAACCACCGTAGCTCTTTGAAATTGTTGCTGGCAAGCTAGGTTTTTCCAC